ATAATCGGTAAATCACGGTTTAGATGGTTGCCGAAATTTCAAATAACATAATAAAGTTACATAACTTTAAACCATTAAAACTTTTTTTTTTCCTAAATAACTCAAAAAAAACTTTCTATTACAGTAATTTTCATGTCCAGAAGATTGCAAAAATAGAGAGTTTTTGGTAAAATAGCGCATATTTAGTGAAGTATCAGCATTTAAAGATTGGCAACATTTTGTGATGTCTTTAGATGATCGGCACTATACACTCATTGAAAGCATGCCAAAAAAAATTGAAGCATGCATTTCTAATGAAGGATGGCCAACTGAATATTGATTTTTTTTGTTCCCAATTTAATTTTGACGATCAAAATGGAAAAAAAATTTTGGTTGAAATTCGTATTTTTTTATTTATTAAAAGTTTCACATAAGCTGAAAAAATAAAATTTTACATAAATATTCTTCAAAACCTAAGCTATAAAATGATATAAATTTTATGTGTGGATATTATGTATGTTTTTGGGTATTTAATGTCCAATTACTTTTTTCTGGGTAGTGTATATATATCAAATAAAGTCGAAAAATAAAACTCAAATTATGGTAAAATACAACTTTATTTGATGTATATTCACATTATTACAAGCAAAAAAAAGATTACACCAGTTAAAAATCAGTTAGTCCAATAGCTCTACAAGAATACTACATCTCTAAATCTATAGTTGATACAAGAGTCTTAACAAACCTTTGATTCGATAAATGTAAGAATGATGTTTAATATGATTTTATTTTTTAACATGGTGGTTTTTAATTGATTTACTACGTTTTACTGATTTATTTATTAATGTGATTTTTGATTAATTTACAAAGTTTAATTGATTTACTACGTTTTATTTATTAACGTGGATTTGATTGATTCAACAAATTTTTATTGTATTTATTCGAATTTTATAGTTATGAAGTAGAAAAATTATACGAATTCGAATTTGAGTTGTTTTTATATGCATTTCAGAGTTTCTCCAGTGCGGATGTTCAATCTGCTGTGAGTACACATCATTAAAGTTATCAATAATCATTGGTTTTTTTCGAATTACACGGTTAGCTCATTAAAAATCATCTACTATGGACGATCCATTACCTTTGCCAATCATAATTATTTATGTATTCATTCTGATAGGTAAATCGAAACTTTGGCACATCTTATATAATACACGACATTAGATAAAATGCATTTGCAAAGCCTCGTGATTGGACGAATAATATGTGGAGCATAGAGTCTTTTGACTCATATTAAACGATTTTCTATGGATGATCAATGATAGAATAGAATCATATATTCACGAAATCATTAGTTATTGTCAAGGATGACGACTTTTCGATGATATCGATCTTTAGCATTTTCCTCGATTTGCGAGTCATATTTGACATATCTATATGGGCGAATGATTTCAAATTTTTCTATTTTGTAGAAGGTACACTCCATGCATTAATTTGATTTGAATAAATCTATGTATTATATAAAAAAATTATTATCAAACATGCTATACGAATTAGATTTATCGAGACAAAAGATCCCAAGAGTCAAAGAATCATCATCAAACACGCAATCCGAATTAGATTTATTAGGACAAGAGATTACAAGAGTCATTGAATCATTAACAGACATGCAATCCGAATTAGATTTATTGGGACAAGAGATTGCAAGAGACAAAGAATTAGAACAGTTTGCAAAGAAAGAAAAATTTGATTCTAGAATCACGAAATTTGAAGCTATCAAGGAAGAAATTCGGAATTTGATTCTATAATCACGGAAATCAAAAGGCAAGCCCAAATCATTACTAAAACTAATTACATGACATTGGATTAAAATGTATTTGTGAAGTCTAATGATTGGACGAATGATATTAAGCGATTTTCAATGGACGATCGATGATGGAATGGAAATCATACATCCACACAAATCATTATTTATTGTCAAGGATGATGGCTTTTCGAAGCTTTATTACTCTGAAATAATAATATCGAAGCATCAGTCTCAGAGCTAGTTGACTTAGAATCAGACTATTCAGACTCATGAGACTTCAGGGGTAAATTGAAGATAAATATTTTTTAATATATTACCGATAAACATGGAATCTTTCTTATACTATGGATATTGTCACTCATGTTACTATAACTCATCTGAACAGTATATTTACCCTAGAGATTGTTTACATGAATATGAGGCGATCATATTATTAGTGATGATGAGCTTGCTAATTATAAGCAAAATTTTTGAAGGCATCTTGAACGGAAATTATATCTTGCAAAGAAAAAAAATTATGATAATTACGAATTTAAATCTTATGATATTAGACTCACGAACTTTCTAGGCGAGATTTTTCCCATCTTGAGAAGATATTCCGTTGGATCGGTACTGGTATTCTAAAAATACTGCCAACATTGAATCTATTTCCGTGATCTGGGAATCGAAAATTTTGATTACTTTTACGTATCAAAAAATTGGATTGAAAAATTTTAATTGTATACTTTTCTGTATCAAAAAAATTGGAACATACTTTGAAAATTTTATTGCACTTTTGCGTATCAATTTTACGTATTAGTATCAAAAAATTGGATCAAAAAAATCAAATCGCACTTTGAAGTATTACTGGATCGAAAAATTGGATCACACTTTTACGTATTACATATAAAAAATTGGATTGCACTTTTGTGTATTACTGTATCAAGAATTTTGATTATTTTTCACCATAACGAAAATTTTAATCTCGATCAGAATCGCACGACACAAAAATCCCCTTGGTCTAGGTACCTTGTATTATTTTCCTGGAATTATTTTTTGATTTGAATTTTTTCACGCATTTATTGTAAGAGGCGACAAAAATCCCCTTATCTGAAATGAATGATTAGTTTAATGTAACAATATACCTCCTGCCAGAGGTACGCTACTTAACTAGATCATTGGTTGATTGAATTAGTCGGTACATTTTGAGTTAGTATTGGCAACGGGTATTGAGTCAAAGAGTTCTTGAATTTCATTTGTTTATATGACGGAAGTATTGGAGTCCCTGCTTTATCAAAACCAGTTCCACTATATGGTTTGCGATCAATCTTATAAGTACTTTTCCATACTCGTTTATCTTTGGTCCTTCTTTTTTTCGCCTACTTTTGATAGTATAACCGCACCAATTACCCACTATCGCATTAAACAGTTTAACTGTAGCATTGAGATTAGTGTTGATTTCCAAAACTCGAGAGTTTCGCAACCGTGCGAAAGTCAAAAGGTTTCGCCATAAGTCGAAACTAGTTTTGATTTTTGACTATTGACTTTTGATTTAGTTTTGACATATAACTTTTAATTTTAGTTTTGACTTTCACCTCTTCAAAATAGTTTTGGCGACCAACACTAATTGAGATCAGGGATTTCCTTAGCTCGAGACTTAAATCCAAAGAGTAACAATGCATCTTGTCGAATTTTTTCCGTGTTTGTTCGAACGCTTTTGACACATCATCACCCAAGAGAATTTTTGTATCATCGATATCAGAAAAGCCTAATGATTGGTATAGGTCATGAACCGCTTCCCATTGTTTTGCCGAATAGGATTTACACAAATCATTTGAGGCTGGATCCAAAGAATCTTGCATTGCATAACTTCTTTGATTTTCAGATTTTCTATGGCTTTAATCGTATTAAACCCTTGTCTTCGAAATAAGCAAGTCTTCTAAAATGTTGTAAAGGTTCAGGACTATTAAAATTTTTTACAAAATCTACATCACAGAGTTTAGTACAGTCTGTATGATCCATACCCAAATCTTGAATGTCATCTTTACCTCCAATATCACCCGAAGCACATGTTCTCCATAAATAATATCGTTGCAGAATCATCTTATCAGCAAATAAATGTGTAGGAATCTGCTTAAGTAATTCAGCTTCATTGGGACCAATATCTGGAGAATTGGCTATTAATTCTGGATCAGCAACTTCGATTTTTTTTGCAACTCCTTTAATATCATTAGATACATTTACACGATCAGCCTTAGCCAAGTTGGAATTTTCTACTGAAAATAGATCAAGAGATGCTCCAGTACTAGCGATAGGACTGCAAAGAATTTCGGGAAAATATTTGGCTGATAAGCGTCTCTGATATTCGACCTCTATATAAGTTTCTACCGCTGGTGATGAGTCAAGAGCATAACAATCAGCAATTTTGTTCCATTCACGACATCCCTTTATAGCAACTGGTAAGTCTCCAGGTCTTAAGGCTGAAAGTTCTGCGCGAATAAGGTCACGATTTGGATCTTTAAAAATTCCAGGTTTTTTATTATTATAAAGAGAAATAATGCGACATGGGCAATCACGAATTCGATAAAGCATTTGTGCAAAAGCTTCAACATGAACTCCTGTATTGATATTACTAATTGCTATAATTGCATCGAAATGATTAGGAATTTCAAAGGAGATACCAGCTTCCACAGTGCTTGTATAAAGTACGC